TTGCCAATAAAATCATTTTCTGACATCTATGTTGGCCAAAATGACCAAGGTTCAATGTCTAACGTATCAACCTACTAGCATGCTGAATTTCATTTTCCTCCAAGCTCTAATTACGAAAATATGGACGTTTTTTAGGTGTTTGGAACGGAAGAGGAGGAGGAGGAGGAGGAGGAGGAGGAAGAGGAAACAGAGCAAATATAATATGTTTCCTTCGGTAAACATAATAATACAACCAACGTAAGTGTAGGAAAAAACAAGGTCAGCTTGCATTGCTCGCTCAACCGTGTCCAATTTACAAAGCTGGTTAAACCGGTACTCTCATCAGTTTGTAATCATTACGTACAGGTGACCTATATAATACATTGGAAGTCAACACTCATGGAGAGCCTTCCTTTTTAGACATGAGATATCTTACTAGTAATTTTATTCAAGTGGCGACAAAACAATCGATCGATCTTAATGATTTTTCTATGTCCAACGATGCAGCGATGTGCAGTGCGCCTTAAAGAAGAAAATGGATATATGCTTTTGCATCGACTAACTATAGATTGTTACGTGGTTACACCTAATCATTAGAATAGAGGGGCTATCTAATAAACATATTACTAGAGGGGCTATCTAATAAACATATCCTATCCCATTATGTACTGGAAAAAGTCCTCACGGGGCATCACGCCCAAGTGAACGACATTGTGCGGCCAGTGGGGTATAGATTGGTGCTCATAAATAATAACGAATACAGTGTGTAGACGAACAGAAACAAATTTGTGCTAGTGAAGTATATACATGGCCGTGATTTATTTTTTTTTGGATATCGATCAAGAACAGAGGCCATGTAACGTACGGCGACGAACAGAACCTGGTGTACAGTACTGAACAAGAACACGGTCTGAAAGGCATATATACAAAAGTAACGCCCTCCTTTCTCAGCACTGGAACACCAGAGGTAGCTTCAGCTCTGGAATAGAGCTGTTCAGAACTGGAAACCGAGAGATGAAAGGAGTTCAGCACTGGAATTCCAGTCCTGAAAAGTCTCAGCTCTGGAAGTGGAATTACGAATATCCCACACCCTTTTCAGGGCCACTCAAATCACTCCCAAAGGGGCTATATCACGGGGCGTTACTTTTGTATATTTGCGTCTGAAAATCACACCGGTTCCTATCCTTTTGATTTGACTACGAGTAAACGTTTATAAACACACCTGCTGGTGGCGCCACAAGCCGATGTTTCTTTTTACGTTTCATTGACGTTACACAACACAAAGACGTCAGTAGGTTTTCAGGATCTCGAGACCTGTAACTTTGATTTAAGAACGATTGATCAGAAATATTTACCATAAGAGGTTAGGGAACTCACCTTGATATGAAAAGAAGTCCAGAGAGAGGGTGCAGGTATGTCTGTTGTGGCCCGATGTGTGCTGGATAGTATTAGTTTACCGATATTTGCATTACAAAGGTCGGCGTCCCTGGCAACGACCCCGACCTGACCGTTAGCGCCATGTAGCGATAAGTATTAACACTGCAGCAAAAACCACCTGCAGCGAGAGGCTCCATTCCCATCAGGATAAAATTGTCTGGATTGAGCCGAATTGATTCGCTTTGTTCCGGCTTATTATTCTTCTACTTCGACGTTAGAGAATCACTCTGGTAGATACCGAGGTCCTTCTCCTTCCAAAAAGTCCAGTAACAATTTAAGTAACTTGTAAAGACGCCGGTCTTAAGTTGCGTTGCAATTCTTCTTCTTTCTCCAGGAAGATAAAACTTTGAATTTCCTCCGTCACCTCGTCACCGACCCCCTTGTCTTTCAGTCTTTCCATTGCCCATCCCGCATGCACATTTCTTTTGCCTAGGCAATTTGTCTCAATCTCAGAGACGACGTCAGCCACAGTCAATTTTATGTTTCCAAATGCCAAAGCATTACCCATGACCTGTATTACCGGCTTCGATCCGGCTCTTTATACTAGTGGAAAATGCCTGAGCCTCGCTTTTCACCGTCTTCCCGCTTAGTCCGTCACCTGGGGGGGTTGTTTTGTTTGTTTGTTTGTTTGTTTAGAATCTCCATGTCTGAATGTCACACTACTCTTCCTGAATAATCAGATCAGAATTTGGAGCATCGCACACCGGGGCATGCCCCTACTCTTTTTCGAAATGTGTGGTGGGTTCTTTAACATGCGTGGGGCGTGGCTCTCCCCAAACACGGGACCTCCATTTAACGTCCTATCCGAGGGACGTCCCTAACCAAAGCTTCGTACTCATTTCCACCTGAGTAAATTGAGGAGAGTCGTGTAAAGTGCCTTTCCGAAGGGCACAAGATCGTTGACAAGGTAGGATTCGAACCCGTAACCTCTTGCTTCGTGGTACGTGGGAGACCAGAAGACTGAACATGATCATGAAATATACATTAAACAGAAAACATGTAAAGCAAACGGCAAGTTGTTTTCTCGCCAACAAAGTTCAACTTAAGACTCAAGCTCAGCATAAAGTCAGCCAACATTTGATCCTCGTGGTTCAATAAACAGACAATCAACTGTCACACAACCAGTGGTATACAATAAAAATGTGCGATAAAGGTCTTACCTCTATCTTGTTGACTTATCTGAGAGCACAAAAAGGCACAAACAGCGATACAATAAACTCTGTGATGTCGGAAAACACAGCAGACAATCAACTTCCCACACAACCAATGGGATACAAGTAGGGAGAAGACTTAAATGTGTTTTCAACGGTACATGCCATACCTGTCTTACTACCGAGAGCTGCACTCAAGCAACGGTTGTCCTCACGACTTTCTAGCAATATATTGCCTGACAGGGAAATCTGGATGCATTTCAGAGGTAAGCCGTGCTTATTGTACAATCATCAGCTTCAAGGAATTTGTCAAGAATATTGTATTTATTTTACGGTAACCTTTATTTTTTAAATCCTACTTCACAGTAGGTTTGCTTTCATTTGGGCATCATCACCACCTAGGCTTTCGAAGTTGTTTTTACAGCTTCCTTCTGTACCCTTTTCAGTTTATCTTTGTCTTTAATTGTATATGGATCCCATATTGTCACAGTACATATATATGGGGTCGTCATTAGCCTGGGTACCATCCCCAGTAGTATATTCGCAAACTCTATAACAGTTACAGAGTTTGCGAATATACTACTGGAGATGGTACCCAGGCTAGGGTCGTCATCATAACCACATCTCTCTCTTAATTTGTATTTGTGCAGCGAGTCACAACAGCATGGATAAAAACCGGACAGCTGTGCTGATACTCCTCCTGGTCCTCCTGAAGGTGTTTGGACCAACCGAAGCTTCCTGTAGCTGCAAAGATCAGACGAACTGCGACTGCAGGCTGCAGGGTGGGAACCAACGCTTAACCAGACACTTACTAACTAATCTTATTTACCCTATGGAGTTTGGAGGTTTGAAATATCTCTATTTTAAGAAAGGTGACATTAATGATATTGAGGCTGGAATGTTTAGTTCAATGTGGCAACTAAATTCATTGAGGCTGATAGACAACAAACTAACTTATCTCAGATCAGACATGTTTACGGGGTTAGGAAATTTGCAGTATCTTTATCTGTACAATAATGATATTAATGAGATTCAGGCTGGGACTTTCGATCCAACTCCAAAACTGTATCGACTGCAGCTCTTCTGTAATGCCATCAGTGACATTCAGCCCGGAACATTTAATCCATTATCACAACTACAAATGTTGATCCTACACAGTAACAAGCTAACAAGGCTCACATCTGGCATGTTTACAGGGATGGGAAACTTAGATGAGCTTCAACTACACAAAAATAACATCAATGAAATTCAGGCAGGAGCATTCACAGACCTCTCAAGTCTCACTATTCTCACTTTGCAAAACAACACCATCAAAACGTTTTCCATGCATATGTATAAAATGCTATCAGGATTTAAGCATGTCAATATTTCGGACAACCCCTGGCAGTGTGACTGTAGGATGATTCCCTTCAGGCAACAGATGAATTGGAAATTTAAAGACCAGATCACTTGTTCCCAACCTCAGAAATTAAAAGGGCAAAAACTTAAAGATATCAATCCTGCAGATCTGATTTGTTACCATAAACCGAACATTGTGAGGTTTGAAAGAAACAAAGATTATAACACGTCAACACATGGGGAGAGTCTGGTCTGTGAAGCTTCAGGTGTCCCCACACCAGACATCACAGTCGTTCTCCCCTCTGGACTGAATGTAACTGTTGAGTCAGAGTGGGGCGAGACGGTGGTTGTCAACGACACCGTCACCATAAACATTACTGTAGATGCTGCCGGTATATACTTTTGTATAGCAGCAAGTTCCCTTGGTTATACATTTGCCAAACTGTCTGTAGAAGTCCCACTTACAGCGCTAACAACTTCACGATTGCTTACTACCAACCGCACCTCAGGCAAACTAGAAAGCAGCAGTGGTGAGGAATCTGGTCCTAGTTTCTCCCTGACTGTTCTTGTTGGGTCTGTTAGTTCTGCAGCAGTTGGCACTGCCCTTATTACTATCATTCTTCTTCTCATAATTTGGTACCAAAGAAGGAATAAAAACCTTCCTTCGTGTCTAGATGTTGTTATAAGCACCGCATCAACATCTAACCAAGATCAGCCCCAGGTTATCACTCAATCCATGATGAACCCACAGTATGGCACAGAGACAGCGGTCTCACAGAATACATATGAAGATGTCGATAATTTGTCCCCAGTGGGTGAGTCTCAGGCTATCACTCAATCCATGATAAACCCGCAGTATGGCACAGAGGCAGCTGCCTCACAGAATACATATGAAGATGTGGATAATTTGTCACCAACAGACCCAAATCCTAATGGCTGCACAACACCAAAGAACATAGCCACAACTACCCATGATCAGACAGCATTGTGTGAGTCTCAGGTTAACATTAAATCCATGATAAACCCACAGTACGGTACAGGTACAGCTGCCTCACAGAACACATATGAAGATGTGGATAATTTGTCACCAACCGGCCCAACAGACCCAAATCCTAATGACTAGTACTGCACAAAACTAAACATAACAGCTACTGCTAACAACGAACAGGCAGCATTGAGTGAGTCTCAAGTTAACATTAAATCCATGATAAACCCACAGTATGGCACAGGAACAGCTGCCTCACAGAATACATATGAAAATGTGGATAATTTGTCACCAACCGGCCCAACAGACCCAAATCCTAATGACTGCACAAAACTAAACATAACAGCTACTGCTAGCAATGATCAGACAGCATTGTGTGAGTCTCAGGTTAACATTAAATCCATGATAAACCCACAGTATGGCACAGGTACAGCTGCCTCAAAGAACACATATGAAGATGTGGATAATTTGTCACCAACCGGCCCAACAGACCCAAATCCTAATGACTGCACAAAACTAAACATAACAGCTACTGCTAGTAATGAACAGGCAGCATTGAGTGAGTCTCAAGTTAACATTAAATCATTGATAAATCCGCAGTATGGCACAGGAACTACTCTCCAAGCAGAGGTTGTGGGGGAATGATCGTTACCTTTTTATATATGGCCGTTTTTTTGTTGTCCTGATCCCGTCGGTGGCCGTGGACCTTCTGTGGCTAATGGATACTGCCTGGCCAATTTGATACTGTCTTTTTGCCACAGAGAGGGATCTGCTTGGAGAGATTAACAGGAACCACCAAAGAATACAAATGAAGTTCTGTATAATTTGTCCGTAACAGGCCCTAAGGACCCAATAAATTAAATTGTCTTTAACATGCCCCACAGAACCAAATCCTTGTGGCTGCAGAAGATAAAAGAAACACAGCGTTAACGAGCCATGATTCAGCTCAGACAACATTGGGTGCGTCTCAGGTTTATATAATAGCGCGACGTCCTTGATAAATAAACCAACAGTGTGAATCATGGACAGCCGCCTCACAGCATACACACATATACATGTATGATGTCAATATGTACACGTCTCCAGAACACACGTCCGCAGTTTCACGCTAATTTTTTTACAACCACAAAAAACACAATTTCTGTAAGGTCTATCCAAGGTCAGACAGCATCAGATTATTAACAAAGTCAGACAAGGAGTAAATCCTTCAACGGAAACCCATTCTATGACTCAAGGACAACTGTCCCTGATATTTAAGTACCACTGTTTGCTGTAATACACGCGCATTTGGGTCCTTCAGCAAAAAGCAAAGATCTCTACAGCTGATACCTACAGGTGCAGGTCTTGATTTGATTTGATTTGATTTATTGAAATTGCAACAGCGCAATACACGCGGAACAGAGGCAGCTGTTACTGGTGTTGTGTCCCGCACATAGAAACGAATACGTACTGGACAGACAATACTCAGTTTCACTTGAGCGAGTCTAGTGGGGAAAGTCGTGTAAAGTGCCTTTTCTAAGGGCAC